CACCTATGGATGAGGATAATGAAGGGTGGGAAAGGGCGGAGGGTGGGGTGGGAGCCTAGTGGAGGGGAGCAATTGTGGGGAGGATAAAAAGAGGAACATTTGTAATAATGTGAACAATAAAGATTTATTTTAAAAAAAAAGAATACAGGCTAAAAGGACAGCTATCATCTTAAACATTGTAGTTTATCATGGCAGAGGAAAAAGAGACTCTGGAGGGTCTCAGACTGACAATGACAATCTCAGCACAGAAACAACACATACCCATTCTGCTCACATCTCATTAACAAGTACTGGCAAACACTATAATGACTATGACAAAGACTCAACATCATGAAAATAAAACTGCAATAAATAACATGGACTAGAAGTGACTCATCTATATGTAATCAGTAAAAAAAAAATAACAAAAAGTGAGAAACTAAGATGGCGGCAAAGGTAAATACCTAAATTGTCACCTCGCACAATTTCAAAACTACAACTGGAAGACAAAACGTCTATCACCCAGAACACAGGAAAGCTGGCTGAGGGAAGTTCTACAACTAGAAGGAAAGAGAAAATAGCATAAGCACTGAAAAGCTGAGGTACAAAGGCACGTGAATTGGGCTGGTGGCAGGTGACGGGGAGAGCTGCTTTTTTTCAACCTACAGGGAGACAAGCTCCCAATTACTCTGAAATCCAGTTTCTGGGGAGATGCAGGGGACCCAGACTCCTACAGGGAGAAGCTGGACTGTCTGCCATCAGGTCGAAAGTAAGGGTGACTTTTTTTGCAGAGGTGCACCCAGCAATCTTGTTTACTGCGCTGGAATGTGGGATTCAAGGACTTAGAAATGTGGAAAGACAGAGAAGACTGACTGGCAGCCATTGCTGTCTGCCATGCCCTAGCATAGTACATCCTGAGACCCCATCCCGCACATTCTACAAACACATCCAACCTCCTCACAGTGGCTTTTGCAAATAAATGGGCTGCCTTGTCAAAGTTTAACCAAATAAACTGCAGCTCCAGTCAGACAGCTCCAAAACCTTCAAATCTCAAGCAAAAACTGTAGTTCTTGCTGTAATTCCTGCTGGGTGGCCTCAGACAGTAGCTGACTTGCACCCCATTGGAGATCCAAAATCTAGTGGTCTGTGTGAGACGACACCAGATTTCAACTACTCTCATAAGAGACACATGCAAGAGGCAGACCCAGTGAGTACCAAAGCTCCATTGGGACAAGTCCTGCCCCATAAACATGTCTCCAGCGCAGCAATTCTTCCATTATAGACACAGTAGGTCCTCACAGCCAATTGGCCTGGAGGTCAATTCCTCCCAGTGATCAACAAGGCTGTACACACAGTCCACAAAGGGGTGCACCAAGAGTGTCCACCTCAGGTAACTAGGAGGCTGACGCATTAGACCATATAGGACACCTAGCACACAAAGCCACCCTACCAACTCAGGGAAGCAGCAAAAATGAGGAGACAAGGAAACAGATCACAAATGAAAGAAATGGAGGAAAACAAGTGACTGGATTTAGACTTCAAAACCACAGTTATACAGTTTTTAAAGAATCTTCTAGAAAAGGCTGATAAATTTAACGAGACTGTCGAGGATATGAAAAAGGACCAACTAGAAATTAAACATACACTGACTTAAATAAAAAAATATTATACAGAGACCCAACTGCAGACTAGAGGAATGCAAGAATCAAGTCAAAGATTTGAAATACAAGGAAGCAAAGAACAATCAATCTGAAAAGCAAAAAGAAAAAAGAATCCAAAAAGTTGAAGGTAGTGTAAGAAGCTTCTGGGACAACTTCAAGTGTACCAGAATTATGGGGTGCCAGAAGAAGAAAGAGAGCAAGATACTAGAAACCTATTTGAAGAAATAATAACCGAAAACTCCCCCACCTGGTGAGAAAAATAGACTTACAAGTCCAGGAAGCGCACAGAACCCCAAACAAAAGGAATCCAAAGAGGACAACACCAAGACACTTCATAATTAAAATGCCAAGGGCAAAAGACAAAGATAATTTTACAAGCAGCAAGAGAAAAACAGTTACATACAAGGGAGCACCCATACAATTATCAGCTGATTTCTCAACAGAAACTATTCAGGCCAGAAGGGAGTGGCAAGAAATATTCAAAGTGATGAATAGCAAGAACCTATAACCAAGATTACTGTATCCAGCAAAGTTATCATTCAGAATTGAAGGGCAAATAAAGAGCTCCACAGATAAGAGAAAGCTAAAGGAGTTCATCACCACCAAACCAGTGTTGAAATGCTGAAAGGTATTCTTTAAGAAGAGGAAGAAGAAGAAAAAAGTAAAGATAAAAATTATGAACAACAAATACATATCTATCAACAAATGAACCTAAAAATTAAGTGAATTAAAAATCTGAGGAACAGAATAAACTGGTAAATACAATAGAATCAGGGGCATAGAATGGGAATGGATTGATAATTCTTAAGGGGAACGGGGTGTGGGGGTGCAGGAAGAGACTGGACAAAAATCGTACACCTATGGATGAGGATGGGGGAGGGGGAGAGGTAAGGGCAGATGGTGGAGTCAGAACCAGTGTAGGGGAGCTATGGGAGGAGGAGGAGGAAGGAGAAATAATTGTAATATTCTGAACAGTAAAGATTTATTAAATTTAAGAAAAGAATGCAAAAAAAAAGTCCAGATATGTACCTAATTGTTATAAGAATTTATGATTAAGATATGTTTAAATCAGTAGGGGGGAAGGTAGATTATTTTGTAAGTAGTGAGGGGCAACTGGGTAGCCATGTGTGGGGGAAAAACCAGATCCATTTCTCACAACAGAATATTGTGAATCAAAGACTTAAATATAAAACAAATTTAAAAAATGAATAACCAATCATAAAAATACTAAGAGACCTAGAAAAGATTTTTTAAAATCACAATTTTTAAAATAGGGTTTTGGGTTTTTTTAATTGATTTTAGAGAGGAAAGAAAAGGGAGAGAGAGAGATAGAAACATCAATGATGAGAGAGAATTATTGGTTGGCTGCCTCCTGCACACTCCCTTCTGGGGATCAAGCCCACAAGCTGGTATGTGCCCTTGACTGGAATCAAACCAGGGACCCTTCAGTCCACAGGCCAATGCTCTATCCAAACCGGCTAGGGCTAAAAATCATAATTTTCTACAAAACAAAAAATACCAAAAACAGAGTAAAAACAGATAAGTGGGGGGAGATTTATAATTTATTACACAGTCAAGGGGCCAATTTTCCAAATACTTGATCAGATCCCCCAAATGAATTTTAAAAAGCAAGTTGACAACCCAAATGAGAAATGGGCAAAGTATTTTAATGGCGTCTTCATAGAAAATGAAATACAGATGGCTCTTAAGTCTAGAAAACGTTTAACCTCACCAATAATAAAAATAGTGACAATTAAAACAGTAAAATGCCATATTTCATCTATTATATTGGTAATGAACAAAAAATTTGATAATAGTTTGTGTTAGTCTTGATGTAGGGAAATACCATTTTCCAACACTAACTAATATGTAAATTGGAAAACAATTTGGCAAAAATCTTTCACAATTATAAAACACCCTTTGATACAGAAATTCTACTAGGAATATACATATATATATATATATATATGTGTGTGTGTGTGTGTGTGTGTGTGTGTGTGTGTGTATACAAGATTGTTCATAAAAGTACATTTTTATAATGCAAAATATTGATAACAGCATAAATATCCATCAGAGGTTAGGTAAATTCTGATAAATCCGGACTTTGAATACTATGGAACTATAAAATCAATGAGTAGACCCTTTATATAGGAATTCCCAATTTATCTAACACTTAATACCTAAGTTCGATTATGAAAAAAAAAAATCAAACATGGTAACTTTAAAATATGCAAAAATGGGGATAAAAGAGCATAGTAGTTTTCTACATATGCAGAAAATGTTATGCATATGCATTAGTAGCCCTGGGGGAGAGGACTAAAGATTAGGATAGGATTATTAGGGAGACTTTTCACTTTATCTCATTTGGATTTTTAAAATATTGTACCCGGTGAATTCCACTTATTTTTTAAAATTTAAATAAAACTAAGGAAAAAAGACCTAAGAGAACTGGAGATTGACTAGAAACATGTTATTTAAAATTCTCAAATAGATTAAAAAAGCAAACAAAACTAGGGATATTCTGTTTAGAAAGAACAAACTACAGACAAATATAGAGTAAAACATTTTCCAACAATCTCAGTTTAAGCTTTGAAATTAAAAGTTTTGATATCTTGAATAAGTCTTTCTTTTTCACCTTGTTATTTCAATCCTTAGTTATCAAATGAATTCTGTCCTCAAAAATTTATTGAGAACAGGGTACTTCATTTTATTCACTGCTATATCTAGCAACTAGAACAATGCTTGGCACATAGGAGGCATTCAATAAACATGTGCTGAATAAATAACATAGTTCTTTCTATATTTAATGATAACCTCTCTATTATAGGTTTTAGTTTAGCTTCTTGTAATTTAAGGTTAAAAAATTTCCCCAAAATAATAGGTTGGTAACCTCAAAACACAAATGCTAAGGATGGCAGGCCAGTTGTCCCTTTCCCTGCCCTATTTCTGATATTTTCAATTTTTAAAAATCAGGATGAGGACCTGTTTCTTTCAGGTCACTCCAGCAGTCAAGTTGTCGTGGCAACACCTTATACATAACATGCCATCTCCCATTTTAAGAATCATAATCTTCTGGTGAGCCCAAGATGTTGTAAGAAATTCAGAATAACTGGAAGCATCTCTAAACTTTTGAAGTAGATATTATGGGGATCAGCCATGATCCACAAAATTTATCTTGGCATCTCTGCTAGATATATAATATGATATTTATTTTCTAAAAAAGATCTCCTATTGCTATCTTAAATAGGCTTCCATCCCACGCACCTAATCTGACAAGTATGAACATACTTATAGGGCAGTGTGGGAGGATATTTGAAATCAGGACTAAACCAGAAGTCAATATGTAATAGTTACATCTACCTTGCACGCTGGATCAGCCTATAGGCAATGTACTTGCGGAATAGGTATCCCAGCCGAACTGTGTCTGTACGAAGTGTCTCAATTATGAGATTTCTAGCTGTTGTATATAGCTCTGAAGGGAGTCCAGAAGTTTCTGTGGTTTGATTTAAGAGTATCAGGTTCTTCCTTTGAGCCCTCACATCAACAAAATACCTCTGCTCTTTGAGCTCTTGGAAAGAGGAAGAGGGTATCGTCATCTTGAGTTTCTTGGTATCTGAAACTGAAGTCAGTACACAGGGCTTACTTATAGGGGGGAATCGGGATTTCCAGTCCCATTCGGATGGTGAAATCTGTGATCTTTTGGGTAGTTGAGTAGTAAGAGGAGGTAGTGATGTTATAGGCTTCATGAGAGCGGGAAGGGGCCCCCCAATGTAAGGAGTTTGTGATACTGGTGTCCTATAATTGGTGAGATAGGACTGAAATGTCCCAAGTTGTTCCATAGCAAAAGAATCTTGGAGTTCCTGGATTTCTTTAGAAGTGTCAGAAACCTCTGCTATTTGGAACTTCTTAGTGGTGAAGGGGGTTTGCAGTACCTTGAAATGTGGAGCACTGGGATGGACCAATTCTGATTTAGGTTTCAGAAACAAATCTTTTGGGGGCTTTCCAAGGGTTGACGGGGCCTGTAGTGTTGACGGATATCCAGGGGTGGGAGAGATCCATAGTGGGAAAGCTTGCCCAGGAAGGGTCTGTGGTGCCAGAAGCTGCCCAAGGGCAGAAGGGGCTTGTAGATAGGGAGATTGCTCACGGGTAGGGAGCTGAAATGCCTGGGGCTGCTCAGAGAAGGTTGAGCGTCCAGAGTCCGTGAACTCCCCAGGGACAGAAGAGGGCCTAGGAATCAAAGGCTTCCCAGGAAAGAGAGGATCCCAGAGACTGGGAATCTGTGAAGAGGTGGATGGAATCCCGGATATAAGAGGAACCTTTGATACCAGAGGTGCCTGGGGAGTCAGAGAGTCCCTGGGTATGAGGAACTGCCTAGGGCTAAGAAGGGAATCCAGTGGGAGGGGCTGCCCTGGAGTGGGAGGGGTCCCAGATACTGGAAGCTTCCCAGGGATGGGAGGGACCTCTGGTGCTAGGTACTGCACGGGGGTGAATTGACCCTTAGAAACCGGTGTCTGTTTAGAGGAAGGAAGTGGTGCCAGGAGCTTCTGTCTAGTTCTTGTAGCGGCTTGCCCAGAAAAAGAAGTCTTTGATTCTTGAAATGGTTTAGGAGTGGAAGGAGTCAATATGGTGGACAACTTAGGCATGTAAGGAGCACTTCGTTTGATGGGTTTATCGGGAATAGAAAAGATCCCACCTTCCAGGGTTTGTCCTGAAGGAGGACCAGCCCAGACTTGTGAAAACTGCTCATCAATGGGAGGAGCTCTTGATTCTAGACTCTGCCTAGACATGTGAGTAGCACCCATGGGCTGGGCCTGTCCTGGGGTGAAGGGAGCTCCCAAAGGCTGAACTTGCTCATGGGTAAGGGGAGATCCTAAGTCTTGGGCTTTATCTGAGGTGAGAGGGACCCCCAAAGACTGCTCAGGCCTAAGAGTTAAAGGAATTGGAATTCCCAGTGCCTGGGCCTGATTCAGAAGTAAAGGAGTGCCAAATGACTGAGCCTGTTCATAGGTGGGAGTGATCCCCAGTGCTTCGCTCTGCTTAAGGGAAAGAGTGTGTGATACTTCCTGAACCATTTCTGGAGTGATAGACCCCCTCAATCTCCAGGCCTGTTCTGCAGTGAGAGGGGTCTCTAATGCCTGAGCCTGGTCCAGGGTAAGTGGGATCCCCAATGCTTGTACCTGCTCAGGGGTGAGGGGGATACCCTCTGCCAGGGCTTGTTCATTGGTATGTGTGATAGCTGAAATCTGCGCTTTCTCTGGAGTAAGAGTGAACATCAGTGCCCGTGTCTGTGCCTCTGTCTGCTGTGGCGTGACAGTGACTCCCAATGCCTCATCCTGGCCTTGAGTGATAGGGACACCAAGTATTTGGGCCTGTTGAGTAGTCACAGGGATTTGCATTGCCTGGCTCTGTTCAGAAGTGGCAGGTGCCTTTAGAGTCTGGCCCTGAGTAGGAGTAATTTGGTCCCTCAATGTCCCTTCTTGCTGGAGAATGACAGGAGCTCTCAATGCTTGGTCTTGTTCATGTGTGAGTGTGACTCCCAAGTCCTGGGATTTTTCAGGTGTGAGGGTAACCATCAGTGCCTTTAACTGCTCATGGGTAAGAGTAATGTCCTGTCCCTGTGCCTGCTGAGGGGTGATAGTGATCCCCTGTGCCTGTGCCTGTGCCTGGTCCTGCTGAGGAGTGACAGTGATTCCCTGGGCCTGGGCCTGGGCCTCGGCCTGCTGAGGGGTGAGAGAAAAGCCCAGTGCCAGGGCCTGCTGAGGGGTGAGTGTGATTCGTTGTGCCTGTGCCTGTTCAGGGGTGAGAGTGATGCCCAGAGCCTGGGCCTGCCTAGGAGTGACAGTGATTCCCTGGGCCTGGGCCTGGGCCTCGGCCTGCTGAGGGGTGAGAGAAAAGCCAAGTGCCTGGGCCTGCTGAGGGGTGAGTGTGATTCGTTGTGCCTGTGCCTGTTCAGGGGTGAGAGTGATGCCCAGAGCCTGGGCCTGCCTAGGAGTGACAGTGATTCCCTGGGCCTGGGCCTGGGCCTGCTGAGGGGTGAGTGTGATTCCTTGTGCCTGTGCCTGTGCCTGTGCCTGTGCCTGTGCCTGTGCCTGTGCCTGTGCCTGTGCCTGTGCCTGTTCAGGGGTGGCAGTGATGCCCTTTGCCTGGGCCTGCTGAGGGGTGGCAGTGATGCCCAGTGCCTGGGCCTGTTCAAGGGTAACAGTGAGTCCCTGTGCCCGGGCCTGCCGAGGGGTAAGTATAATGCCCAGTGCCTGGGCCTGCTGAGGGGTGACAGTGATGCGCTTTTTCCGCGCCTTATGACGTGTGAAAGTGATGCCCAGTGCCTGGGCCTGCTGAGGGGTGAGAGAGATTCTACGTGCCCGGGCATGCTGATGAGTGACAGTGATGCCCAGTGCGCGGGCCTGCTGACGGGTGAAAATGATGCCCAGTGCCTGGGCCTGCTGAGGGGTGATAGTGATTCCTTGTGCCCAGGACTTCTGAGGGTTGAGAGGGATGCCCAGTGCTTGGGCCTGTTGACGGGTGAGTGTGATTCCCCGTGTCCGGGGCTTCCGAGGAGTGACAGTAATTCCCTGTGTCCGGGCCTGCTGAGGGGTGACAGTGATTTCCTGTGTCTGCTGAGGGGTGAGTGTGATGCCCAGTTCCTCGGCCTGCTGAGGGGTGAGAGTGATTCCCTGGGCCTGAGCCTGCTGAGGGGTGAGTGTGATGCCCAGTTCCTCGGCCTGCTGAGGGGTGAGAGTGATTCCCTGGGCCTGAGCCTGCTGAGGGGTAAGTGTGATGCCCAGTTCCTCAGCCTGCTGAGGGGTGAGAGTGATTCCCTGGGCCTGGGCCTCCTGAGGGGTGAGTGTGATGCCCAGTGCCTCAGCCTGCTGAGGGGTGAGAGTGATTCCCTGTGCCAGGGCCTGCTGAGGGGTGAGTGTGATGCCCAGTTCCTCGGCCTGCTGAGGGGTGAGAGTGATTCCCTGGGCCTGAGCCTGCTGAGGGGTAAGTGTGATGCCCAGTTCCTCAGCCTGCTGAGGGGTGAGAGTGATTCCCTGTGCCAGGGCCTGCTGAGGGGTGAGTGTGATGCCCAGTGCCTCGGCCTGCTGAGGGGTGAGTGTGATGCCCAGTGCCTCGGCCTGCTGAGGGGTGAGTTTGATGCCCAGTTCCTTGGCCTGCTGAGGGGTGAGAGTGATGCCCTGGGCCTGAGCCTGCTGAGGGGTGAGTTTGATGCCCAGTTCCTCGGCCTGCTGAGGGGTGAGAGTGATGCCCTGGGCCTGAGCCTGCTGAGGGGTGAGTTTGATGCCCAGTTCCTCGGCCTGCTGAGGGGTGAGAGTGATGCCCTGGGCCTGAGCCTGCTGAGGGGTAAGTGTGATGCCCAGTTCCTCAGCCTGCTGAGGGGTGAGAGTGATTCCCTGGGCCTGGGCCTGCTGAGAGGTGAGTGTGGTGCCCAGTGCCTCGGCCTGCTGAGGGGTGAGTTTGATGCCCAGTTCCTCAGCCTGCTGAGGGGTGAGTGCGATTCCTTGTGACTGTGCCTGTTCTGGGGTGGGATGAAACCCCAGTTCCTTGGCTTGCTCGGGAATGACAGTTAGTTGCTGTGTTTCAGCCTGCTGAGGGGTGACAATGGCACCTAGTCCCCTGTCCTGCTGAGGAATAAGACTTATCCCCTCTCCTTGGACTTGGAGCTGTTGAGATCTAAGAGTGATGCCCGGTGCCTGGGCTTCCTCAGGGGTGACAATGAACCCTAGTCTCTGGGCCTGTTCAGGAGTGAGACTTATCCCCTGGGCCTGGGCCTGCTGAGGAGTGACAGTGATGCCCAGGGCCTGGGCCTGTTCAGGAGAGAGAGTGAAGTCCTGGTCCTCGGCCTCCTCATGAATGACAGCCATGGACTTTGTAGGATACTGTCCAGGAATAGACAAGGGCCCAGGTGAGGAAAACTGTGTCGAGGTGGAAGGAATGGCTGGTTCGAAGTACTTTTCTTCAGCAAGCTTCATACGGAACTCTTTTTTTTTTTGTAACTGGAATGCTGCTTTCCATGTGTCCTTCCATCTGGGAGTCAATGTTATTGAAGCGTAACTTAACATATTTTCTAGATTTTCAGGTATTTCCTTCTTAATCTTCTTCTGCTCCTTTGTTTTTTTAGGCCACTGACTTTCATCATCCTCCCCCTTTCTCTCTGGCTTCTGCTTCTCTTCCTCTTCCTTCCAGCTGCTTTCCAGCTCCAAATGTTTCACTTCCTTCTGAATCTCCTCAAAGGATACTCCTTGCTCTTTCATTTTTTGCATCCATGCTTCCAGGGGATGCTGCTTTTGCTTCTGCTGTTCTTCCTTTCCCATTCCCTTTTGCATCTCATCTTGCTCAGTCTGCTTTTGCATCCTCTGTTTTTGAAGTAGCGCGAATACTTCTTTCTGCCATTGTTTCTCCTTCTGTATCTTTTCATATTTCATCTTCCATAAATTCCTTTCTTCTTGTAACTGCTGTTGTTTAAGATTCATATCCAAAATTTCTCCTTGGACTTGCAAATATTTCTCCTGCCTCTGTTTTTTCTTCTCCTTGTGATCTTTCCCTGCTATTGCGACGACTGGAGCGTCTTCTTCCTTTTCTATTTCAGTCAAGATCTCCTGTGTTAAATTTTGTATTACTGGGTCCATGCTCTCAGATGAGAGTAAGGAGCTAATTTCAGACTTTGCACTAATTGGCCTCTGTAAATCTAGCCCTGGTATAAATAAGACTTGTTTTTGTTTCATTTGTTTCTCTCTAATTTGTTCTTTTTTAATGTCTTTGTATTTTCTCAAGATTTTTGCCACAGCTCCAGCCACATTTTGGAAATATTCTTCCATTTTTGTCTTTATGATTCCTAATTTTTCAACTTCTGCTTTTTTTAATAACAACTCTGCTTCTGGCACAGTCTTTTTATCCAAAGGAGTTCTTGTGTTATCAATTTTCTCTTTTAAGAAAGACATTATGGCGTTATGAAATTCATCTAGATTATCCTGTTCACTTTTGCCATCTGGACTTCCTGGAGCTGTAGTAGATTCTGAAGTCTCTTTAGTTATCTTAGATTGTGATTCAACAAGTTCATGAGACTTGACCTTCTTGGTAAAGACTGATGTGTCCTTCTCTTCCGTTTTTCCTTCTTTGCTTGTGGTAATTTCTGAAGAGACTTGATGTTCCTTTTCTTTTCTTTTCACTTTCTCAGCAGATTTATCAAGTTGGGTTATCCCTCGGATACTCATAAGAGATTTGCTCTCTTTGTTCATTAGCTCAGTGGTAGATTTCTTTTTATGCCCCAAAATAACTTGGTCTTTTGAAATTACATATGCAAGTTTCTGCTTCCTGAGTCGTTCCCACTTGCTAGTTCTGCTTTTGCCACCTTGGCTCTCTATGTCAGTAGAAGGGAATTTCGAAAGAACACGTTGACTTTTTGATCCAATGAATGACTTTGTTTTGTCTACAGAAAGGAGTTGTACTTCTTGACTCGTTTTTCGCTCTACTTGTAGCCCTTTGGTCTCTGAGACTATTTGTTTACTTGTCTGATTAGTCAGACTTGATCTAGAGGTCTCAAGCTCAAATGAGGCTTTTGAGATCTTCCTTTCCTGTGATTGATCCTCATCAGTCCAATCTTCCTTCAGTGATATCCTATCTTCAGTGATATCTTTGGAAGGTATTTTGGGGGGTTTTTCAGGTAAAGGAGATTGCTGATCAATTAAACCTGCAGTCATTTCAACTTGGGATGTATGTGAAATTGCTGAGTCCCACTTGAACACTGAGCCTTGGGTCCCCTTTTTTTGGGCCTTCCCCAAAGTATTTTCATATTCTTTGATCAAAATATTGTCTATACTCTCTTCTTTATCAGTCTGGCGAAAGCCCTTGTGTAATTGTGGAGAAATCCCAGGTAACACTTTCAAGGTTGATGGGGGCCATGCTTTGAATTTAATAAGCTGCTCACATTTTTCTTCTGCATATTTAAGTTTCTGCTGAAGCATTTCATTTTCTTCACTGAGCTCTTTTATTACCTGCAGGAAGGTCTCTTTTTCCCCTGCCTCGCTTATATACTCATCAGGAGAGAGGTTAGTAACTTTTACTTCATTATTTAGTGAAGTCAATGCTTTAGAAAGATTTGATATTGTTGATGCTATATAGTTAATAGCATTGTTTTCCAATTTATTGAACATTGTAGTATCTATGAGTTCTTGTAGCATGTAGTTGATTTCTGAAACCTTTGTATTTGTTGCAAATTCATCACTGATCATCTGATTTGGTGTTAAAGCATGGACTGTTGCAGGTCGCTTTAAAACTCTATCTTTCCAGGATTTCCATAGAGTTTTTCTAAATGCTAGGAGAAGAAAAACCAAAAAACACAAATGATGAGACTGTATTTCTTCTTTTGTGTTGTGTCCTATGGTTAAGCCTAAGGAAGTTAGAATAAATTAACATATAGCTGAAGGAGACAACTATGATGATAATTGCTCATCAAACATAGCATATCAATAAAGATATGAAAATCTAGTAGAAAAAAATAGAGCTGAATAGTATAATAACTAAAATGAAAAGTTAGCTAAGAGGGCTCTAAGTAGATTTGAACTAACAGAAGAAAATAACCAGCAAACTTGACGCTTGATTAGTAAAAGTTGTCTAATCTGAGGCACAGGGAAAAGAAAGAAAAAAGAAAAATGAACAAAGCCTCAGAGACAAGTGGCACACCATTAAACATACTGATGTACAAATAACAGAAACCCCAGAAGAGGAGAGAAGTACATTAAAATTATTTGAAGAAGTGCCTTGGCCAGTGTGGCTCAGTTGATTGAGCATTGTCCCATGCACTGAGAGATTACCGGTTGGATTCCTGGTCAGGGCACATGCCCAGGTTTTGTCGATACTTAGTAGGGGGCATTCAGGAGGCAGCTGATATGTTTCTCTCTCATCGATGTTTTTCTCTACCCCTCTTCCTTCCTCTTTCTCAATAAAAAACATATTTTTAAAAAATTATTTGTATAAGCATAACCAATGGACACAGACACAGGAGTGAGGGCATGAGTGGGGTGTGGGGGGATAAGGACACATATGTAATAGTTTAATCAATAAAAATAAATAGATTTAAAAAAATATTTGAAGAAGTAATAGCGCAGCATGCCAGCTCATAATCCCCAGCTGGGCAGCTTCCAGGCTGGGCGGTACTGTGAACCTGCACATGCCTCCACTGGTGGCTGCTATTACCTGGGGCTGCTCCCAGGCCAGGCCTGACTGGTTGTGACTATTACGTGCCTGACCAGTCGTGACTGTTACAGCGTCTGGGCTAATTAGTATATCCCTCTATTATTATATAGGATAAATTAGGAATATATATATATATATATATACCGTGTTTCCCTAAAAATAAGACATCCTCTGAAAATAAGACCTAGTGCATGAAAAGATAAGACATCCCCTGAAAATAAGACCTAGCACATCTTTGGGAGAAAAAATTAATATAAGACACTCTCTTATTTTCAGGGAAACAGGATATATATATATATATATATATATATATATATATATATATTTGAGATTTAGTTTCAGAGGGAAAGTTTCTCTTCTTAATATCTTTATATTGATTTCAGAAAGAGGAAGGGAGGGGAAGAGAGGTATGGGAACATCAATGATGAGAGAAAATCATTGATTGTGGCTGTCTCCTGCCCACCCCTTACTGGGGATCAAACTTGTGCATGTGCCCTGACTAGGAATTGAACTATGACTTCCTGATTCATGGGTTGATACTCAACCATTGAGCCATACCAGCTGGGCAAATTATACAAAATTTTATGAAAAACATTAATTTACACATTCAAAAACTCAGGAAATTTTAAGTGGACAAACACAAAATAATCTATATTAATAAAAGGGTAATATGCTAATTAGACCGGATATCTTCCGGACATCCTTCCTGACAAAGCTGGAGCCCAGGCAAAGCTGCTCTGGGTCCTGGGTGGCTGCAGCCAGCTGGAGGGAGGGAAGCCTGGGTCCCAAGTGTGGAGGCCAAGGCAGAGGTGGTTAGGGGTGATCAGGCAGGCAGATAGAGGCAATTAGGGGCAATAAGTCAGGTAGAAGAGTGGTTAGGGGAGATCAGGCAGGCCGGCAAAGTGGTTAGGGATGATCAGGCAGGCAGGAAGGCAAGCATATAAAAGCCAATGGTCCTGGATTGTAAGAAGGATGTCCAACTACTGGTTTAGGCCCAATCTGCAGGGATCCCTGCAGGACTAGGCCTAAACCAGCAATTGGACATCCCCCAAGGGGAACCCCCCCCCAATGCATAAATTTTGTGCACTGGGCCTCTAGTAAGTAGATAAAATGAGGTGAAAGGTGGTTATAGAAAAAAATTAAAATAAAGAAGATAAAGACACAAAAATATAGAAAAATGACTCATTCCAATAAAAAGAGACTAATCAAGTACAGGAGAACTATAGCTCACTCTTTATCAGAAAAAATGGAGGCCAGAAGGAAGTGAGATGGTATATTTAAAGTGCTGAAAAAATTATACTGCTAACCAAGAATTCTATACCTAGCAAAACTATTAAAAAGTGAAAGTAAGCCTGGCCAGCATGGCTCAGTGGTTGAGCACTAACCTATGAATCAGGAGGTCATGGTTTGATTCCCAGTTCGATTCCTGGTCAGGGCACATGCCCAGATTGCAGGCTCAGTCCCCAATGGGGGACATGCAGGAGGCAGCTAATCAATGATTCCTTTTCATCATTGATGTTTCTCTTTCTCTCTCTCTCTCTTCCTCTCTGAAATCAATAAAAATATATCTTTTTTAAAAAATGAAGGTAAGCCTGGCTGGTATGGCTCAGTGGTTGAGTATCGATCTATAAACCAAGAGTCACTGGTTCAATTCCCGGGCAGGGCACATGCCTGGATTTGGGCTTAATCCCCGGTAGGGGGTGTGCAGGAAGCAGCCAATCTCTATTCCTCTACTTTCCTCTCTCTCTAAAAATCAAAACATCTTTTACAATATGTTTATTTCAGAGGAGATTGGAGAGAGAGAAAGAGAGAGAGAGAGAGAAAAAAAATGGAGGCCAGAAGGAAGTGGGATGGTATATTTAAAGTGCTGAAAAAATTATACTGCTAACCAAGAATTCTGCTAACCAATTATACTGCTAACCAAGAGAGAGAGAGAGAGAGAAACATCAATGATGAGAAAGAATCATTGATTGGCTACTTCTTGCATGCTCCAAACTGGGGATCAAGCCTGCAATGTGGATATGTGCCCTGACCAGGACATAGAGTGATGACCTCCTGGTTCATAGTTCAGTGCACAAGCACTGAGCCATGCCAGCCAAACACTAAAAACGTATTTAAAAAAAAAAAAAAAAAAAATATATATATATATATATATATATATATATATATATATATATATATATATATTTTATTGATTTTTTACAGAGAGGAAGGGAGAGAGATAGACAGCTAGAAATGTCGATGAGAGAGAAACATCGACCAGCTGCCTCCTGCACACCCCCTACCGGGGATGTGCCCGCAACCAAGGTACATGTCCTTGACCGGAATCGAACCTGGGACCCTTCAGTCCGCAGACTGATGCTCTATCCACTGAGCCAAACCAGTTTCTGCTAAAAGTATTTTTTAAAAATACATTTTTAGCCGAAGCTGGTTTGGCTCAGTGGTAGAGCGTCGGTCTGCGGACTGAAGGGTCCCAGGTTCGATTCCGGTCAAGGACATGTACGTTGGTTGCGGGCACATCCCCGGTAAGGGGTGTGCAGGAGGCAGCTGGTCGATGTTTCTCTCTCATCGATGTTTCTAGTTCTCTGTCCCTCTTTCTCTCTCTTCCTCTCTGTAAAATATCAATAAAATATATTTTATTTATTTATTTATTTTTAAATATATATATTTTTTAAAAAAATACTTTTAAAATGAAGGTAAGACATCCGTTCTTCAGAATAACACTCTTCCCAAGGTAGCCTGCATTTACAACTCTTACAACCATTTTTATTGCATGTGTTTTTAAACACTTCTCTAAATGCATTACAGAATGTTTATAACATTGATTCCATGAAATAACATGCTTTTTAAAAATAGCACACATATATAACTCTTATAAAAAAATAAAGGTAAAAAATAAGATATACAGATGGCAAGTAAGTATATGAAAAGATGTTCAATATCATCTGTCATTAGACAACTGCAAATTACAACAATGGGATACTGTCATACACCTATTAATACCAAATGTTGACAAGGATATGGGGCAACAGGAACTCTTGCTTATTACGGGTGGGAATAAAAAATGGTATAATACTTGAAAGGCAGTTTGGCAGTTTTTTACAAAGTTACTTACAAAGTAATGTGGTCTAAATGTTCCAGTAATCATACTCCAATAAATTAACCCAATAAATTTGAAAACTTATGAACACACACAAAATACTTGCATGAGAAAGTTTATAACTTTATTCATATATATAATTGATTTCATAAAAGGAGAGAAAGACAAACATCAATGATGAGAGGGAATCATTGATTGGCTGCCTCCTGCATGTCCCACACTGGGGATCGGGCCTGCAACCAAGGCCATATGCCCTATTTGAACCACGGCCTCCTGGTTCATAAATTCATGTTCATCCACTGAGCCATTCAGGCCGAGCAACAACTTTATTCTTAAACACAAAAATCTAGAAGCAACCAAGATATCCTTTGATAGGTGGATAAACAAGCTGTGATACATCTATACAATGGAACATTATTCAGCAATAAAAATAAATGTTATCAAGACACAAAAATATATGGAGAAACTTTATTTTTTCTTTCTTTCCTTATTTTTTTTATGGAGGAACTTTAAATGTATATTGCTCAGTGATAGAAATCAGTTGGAAAAAGCTACATACTGCATGATTCTAACCATATGATATTCTTGAAAAACATTTTTAAAAATTAGTGATTGCTGTCTGGCTGGTGTGGCTCAGTGGTTGAGCATCAACCCATGAACCAGGAGGTCACAATTTGATTCCCAGTCAGGGCACATGCCTGGGATGTGGGCTCAATCCCCAGGGTGGGGTGTACAGGAGTCAGCCAATCAATTGATTTTTCTATCTTTCCCTCTTCCTTCCTCTCTGAAATCAATAAAAAATATCTTTAAAAAAATCAGTGATTGCTTCCCAACTGGTGTTGTTCAATGCATTGAGATTTAACCCATGCATTAAGAGTTCACTAATTCCCGGTCAGGGCAGAGGCTGGGGTTGTGGGCTTAATCCCTAGTAGCAGTATGTAAGATGCGGCTGATTGATGTTTCTCTCTCACTCCTGCTCCTTTCCTCTCTATCTAAAAGTCAATAAAAATATTTTAATT